TTGGAACAAGAAACAACAAACAAAAACTGAAACTGAGTGGAAGCTGCTCCTTTCTCCAACCTACGAATTGTAGGGTCTGGAGATGACTGGTAGCCCTTACTTCCCCAGAGCAAATTTTAGGTCACTGCTTCTTTACATGTAGATATCCCAGCTCCTTTAGAGCTTCTTTGAAAATCTTTTGAGGAATTTTATATCCTATGAAATTCAGCTCTACCCAATATAGCAAGCTAGGTCTTTTTCTCACATATTCGCTGGTAGTGTCACATATCCCTTTTTACTGGTAGTGGCTCCTTTTTGCACCATCTTGAGAAGGAATCCAAGGCTTTGTTTTGGCTCATCAGGATCACCTATATTAATTTATTAGTGATTATTCTTGATGGATTTAGCATTATACACCATCTTCTACCATTTGTCCCTTGTCATTTACAAGCTCATTTGATCTTCCAGCTTCCTTAAAGAGCTCTCCACCCCCCACCAACTCTCCAGATAATTCTAAGTGACTTCAGCATCCATATGAAAAACAGCAAATATAAGCTTCATATTTTTCTAAACCTCTGAGCTCCAGCGACCTTTATCTGTAAGTTACTTTATATACTTGCTGAGACCTCCTGAAGTTCTAAAGTCTCAATGTCTTCTGGTCTTCCTTTTCCTTCCTTTCACTATGATGGTTCTTAGCCCTTTTTGGTATCTGATATTCTTTGATACTACCGTGTTTTCCCAGCCCCTTCAATCTTCTCTTGGTATTTTTACTTTCCTGCCTTATCTGGAACTATGAGCTTATTCTCACTAGCATATTTTATTTCTTCTTCTACCTTTATCCTTCCACTGAATCAGCCCAGCAAAACCTCAACTTTGCACGTGTGCTCAGTGCAGCTCCCTGCTGGTTCGTGTACCTGGGGAGCTGAGCATTGCTAATGGTAATCACAGCACCCTTCCTTCTTGTGTGGCATGTAAGTCTCCCGTTAGAATTTTATTACTCTTCAGTATTATACCTTTGAAGCTTTACCTCTGCCATTCTGCTCCAATAGAGAGCAGACAAGTTTAACTTGCATGTGACTAGACTATATCTGCCTACACTTCCTGCATCATGTTTGTGAGATCAGACTTGGAGTTCTCTGCACCCTAACTTGCCTTTGTTCATACCATTCTCCCTGCTTGGACTACTGTTCTCACCCTTGTGCTTTACTCAATGACAGTCTGCGCTACAAAAACTCTTATACAACTTCAAGATTCATCTTCATGCCCACCCCACATACCCTCCCACACTATCCTCTCTTGGTAAGGGACTCAATCATTTGTATATACTTTAAACATAAATCCTGTTTTCCAGTGCTGTAAGGATTGAGAGTTGATCAATTCACTGAAAAAGTTCATTAAAGCTAGAGTTAAAAAAAAAATACATGTAGACATGAAACATTTTATTTAAACTTAGAACAGAAATACATTCCTGTCGATTGTCTCATGTATGACCAAGGGATTTTCTTTGAGTATGTATACTTGAATGGAATTCATTGTTCCTTCATGAATATACTGAACGCAGAATGCATCCTCTAGATTTCTAGTTTGCATTTAAAAGAAAGAACTCAAGCTATTTATGTAGCATTGTGAACACAGGATCCTAGATTTGTATGGTTTTTTTTCCCTCACCAGTCTTTTCAGTTGCATTGTCCATACCTACTTCAATAAGAGTTTGTTTTTCTTATGGAGACTTACCTTTATAAAGTCTTTCTAAGGCATTAAATCATAAAAATAGCAGTTATTTTTCTTTTTTACTTGCATTTTATGGTTTTGGTTTGTGTAGCATTTAATTAAAGCATGTATTTATAATATACAAATGTGGTTTGTGAATATAAACTCAACTGATGGTAGCAGAGGTGCTCATGATCAGCATGTTGTAGACATCAGTATTTACCAAGGGAATGGATAGTATGTCAGTTAACTTGGCAAGTTGATTGACGGATGTTGGTTAAGAGAGTTTCTACTGTAATGATTTTTATTGCTTATCTCCCTTCATTACAGTGTGAGCTCTTACAAGGCAAGGGATATATATATATATATATATATATTTTTTTTTTTTTTTTTCATTTTGTATATCTAACCTTCACCTATGCATAGTACCTACTGTAGATATTCAGTCTGTGTTTCTTGGCTGAATGAGCAAATTCTTCTCTAAGTCATACTAAATTTGAATAATCAGAAAGAACGCTGTACTAAGAATCAGCTAGTATAGACAGATCACTGGCCTTGGAGCCAAATTGGGGTTTGAATCCTTTCTCATTTGCATTTCTTTTTTTTTTTTTTTTTAAAGATTTTATTTATTTATTTGACAGAGAGAAATCACAAGCAGGCAGAGAGGCAGGCAGAGAGAGAGGAGGAAGCAGGCTCCCCGCTGAGCAGAAAGCCCGATGTGGGGCTCGAACCCAGGACCTGGGATCATGACCCGAGCTGAAGGCAGCGGCCCAACCCACTGAGCCACCCAGGCGCCCCACTCATTTGCATTTCTTGAGCAGATTTCTTTCTCTTATTCTTTTGGGGAATGGGGGTAACAACAGTCTTTGGGTTGTGTGAGGATTAAATGGGGATATAAAGTGTTTAACGTAGTGCTTGACATAGTAAGCAATCAACAAGTGGTAATTTTCCTGATGATGCTCATTACCAGTGAGGAAAATGTAGGAATTCAGTTGGTCTAACTTTTTCATCAAAGGTCTTGAACTATATAATTTAACAATTTCCTTCTCGCTCTAAATTTCTCTTATTATAAACAATGGTTCATGTTTTGGACAGATTTTTGTAAGAAAATTGTGGCTATTCCTTGATTTGTTACATTTGTAGATTTGATAAAGTAGGTAATTACTTAGGTGATCATAACCTTACACCTTGAAAAACAAAACTTTCAGCCTTGAGAACACCATTTGTTAGTGAATTGAACTCTCTAATAAAGTGTGAAGAACAGAACAGCAGCTCAGCTTTATTAAGCACTACCACACTATCTATGTAAGAGCTAAGTAAGGTAGAAAGTAGAGAAGGAAGCTCTGAGGAGATTGTTCAGAAGCATTAGCTTAGAAGAAGTAAGATAAAATTAAGCTCTTGAAACTAAATTTATGGACAGATTTAACTTTTTGAATCATAGATGTGTATTTGTTAGAAATCTAGGTTTTAAGTTTTCATGTTGACCACATTTTCTTTCTGATTAAAAAATGGGGATAGGGTAAGAAGGATGGAAACATAGTGCTTTTTTGGAATGGCTCTGAGGATATTTCCCATTCTTTGTCTCAAATTTTGGTTTGTTTAAAGAAGTAAGTGATTTAGCAGAATTCCTTTTAGCATTCATTCTACAGCTCATACTTATACTTAGTTTTTATATTACAGTTATCATTTAGTATGGAAGAAGATGAGTTCTTTGGAGAAAAAACATTCCAGCACTTTTGTGCAGAATTCATTAAACATTCACAGCAGATAAATGATGGTTGGGAATGGAGAACTTCAAAGGTAAGAACAGAAACTTTTATTTTCTATTTTAATAAAGTGTTTTTTTCTTTGGCTATATAAAGCCTCAGTAATTTAAACTAATGTATGAAAGCTAGTTTGATTTAGTAAAAGGCTTAAATTGAAGACTGTTTTAAAACAGATGTCCATTTTATTGTTTCAACTATATATACTCATTATAATTGGGCTAATGAAGTATTATCTAGAAAAGTCCTTAGGTGACCTCCTTTAATTTAATAGATAAGAGTGCTTAGCATATTAATTATCTGAATGTAAACAGATGCTTCTGTGGTGCTTTAAACCATTTATTTACACTATTTATTTTCTTAGGAAAGTGCTTTTGTCCAGAGAGTGGAAAGATAATCCTGAAACCAAACCAGAGTCAAACAATCACAAAGTCTGAAATATTGAGGAATGAATTAATTGGAAATTTCTTAATGATGTAAACACATTCCAAAGCATTCTTTCTTTGGTTCTATTCAGTAATGATGATGTAAAAGGTCTATGGACTCATCTATTTCTACACATATACTTAGTATGGATTATACTTAGTAAGGTTTCTCTGTCAAAAGCTCCTCGAGATAATTTTCTGATAGGATAAATTTTCTCTACTTGATTTCTTAATCTGACACCTAAAAAAAGTGGTGATTCCCAATTTTGTGATTATTGGCTCTGTTTGCTATATGAACTCTGAGAGATGTGAATACTTTAGAGCTGATTCCTATGATTCAGAAGTAGGCCAGGGAAATGCAGTTCTTGACTCAATCCACAGTGTCACCAGAGAGAGAAGCCATGATTTCCCTTTGGGTCATGTGTCAGCTAAGCTTTCATGGGGCGGGCGGGAGTGGGGGAATATCATGAGAGACTCCAGCCCCACTCTTTAAGTTCGTGACTGGACAGTTCATAAGGCATCTCCTGCTCTGGGATAACATGATTTTATTATTAGCACCTTTTATTAATCTTTTTCCTGAGTGTTTTATAATTTTGATTGCTATTGTGTTTGAGTGTTTATTCATCTTTATTCATCTTTTATTTTCTTCATCCTGACTTTATTTATTTATTTATAATCAGAGATAGAGAGAGAGCACACAAGGAGAGGGAGTGACAGACAGAGGGAGAAGCAGGCTCCCTGCTGAACAGGGAGACCGTTGTGGCACTTGATCCCAGGACCGTAGAGTCCTAACCTGAGCTGAAGGCAGCTGCTTAACCGGCTGAGCCACCCAGGTGTCCCCATCCTGACTTTAATATCATATTTCTGATAGATGATTTCTTTAAAATTTGGCTGTTTATTCATTGGATAAATGTAGGTTTCTGATCCCATTTGATCTGTAATAATTTGTATGGTTATTCCTGAGAAACTTTTCCTTTCCTTTCCACAAATTTTTTTTTAAAAATAAATTTTAAAAAAGAAATTTTCTTGTCTTAAGCTAGAAGTAGAATAATAGATGCTCCAGCTACTATTTCAGTGACCTGGTAGAATGGGGGGAGGAAAAGGTTAGGGAGGGAGATGGGACTGTGTGTGTGTGTACATGTGCATGAGTGCATTTCCACGCACATGCACAAACACACACACACACACACACACACACACACACACACACACACACACGTTTGTTGGGGAATGCTGGGAAGGGTCTCCAGGAGGGAGATTCATGATAATATTATATCTGTTAGAAATGTCTTCTGTGGGCGCCTGGGTGGCTCAGTGGGTTAAGCCGCTGCCTTCGGCTCAGGTCATGATCTCAGGGTCCTGGGATCGAGTCCCGCATCGGGCTCTCTGCTCAGCAGGGAGCCTGCTTCCCTTCTTCTCTCTCTGCCTGCCTCTCTGCCTACTCGTGATCTCTCTCTCTCAAATAAATAAATAAAATCTTTTAAAAAAAAAAAAGAAATGTCTTCTGTGAATTTGTTGAAACTAGTGTGCCAAGAACTAGTTTCCAGGATTTGCTTTTATTCTTGTCTGTCCTCTGTTTCAGGGGTGGGGTATGGCTGTCATTGGCTTCTTGTTCGTTGCCATTGCCTGCTCAGTTAGGAAGGTTACCTACCCTTCAGAGTTAGAATTGCACCTCTAATTAAGGGCAGGTTTTTTTTGTTGTTTGTTTGTTTTGTTGTTTGTTTTTTAATGTGGAGGTGAGCCCACAGATAGTACCAAAACAAAACAGAACACTGTTTAGAGAAAATCTTTGTAACCTTAGGGTAAGGACTACAGACTCAAAAGCCCTGGAGTCCAGGTATTTGTAACATAAATGGATCAAGCTGCCAGGTACAAGACAATCTGGACCCTGAGTCCTAAGGCCTGTGCCCAGCAGAGTGTTTGCTCTCTTGCCAGGTTGGGAATGTGACACAGGGGTTACCAGACCTTTCAAGAAAAGTAAATTTTCAGATATTGGCAACTACTTAAAAAACATTTTTCAGAAACAGGACCAAACCCAACATGCTACTGTTGAATAATATGTGGGATATGTGTGGTGATTTACATTCTGTTATTGGGTATGTGTGTGGTACGACTGTGGTTTCTTGCCCAGCCCTACTTCAGTGCATGTTGCTGATCTGAATTATGTAAAGGGGGCTCTCGGCAAAGCAAATGCCTCTCTTGTGAATTTTGGTAGGTTAGTATTTTTGCCACTTAATATCTGCAGTGCTGTCCCACTTTTATGAAGGAAATTCTGAATCAGTCACTTGGTTTTTTTCTTTCAAACCTTTATCTCAGTCTTTTGTGGGACTGTTTGGAGAGAATACTTATACTGTTGTTTTACTTTATAGGCTCCAGAAATTTGTTTTTATTTTAACAAAAAAATAGTAGTCTTGAGGTAAAATTGGGTAACAACAAGCTGTGCATAAGTGAGGCCGATGAACCCTCGCTACAGTCAAGAGGGTGATCATACCCATTACCCCCAAGAGGATGCTTTTATACCTTTATAATGCCTCCCTCTGCCCCTGAAAGTTATCTATTATTTTTTTTCTCACAGTTATTTTTAAAAAGGATCTTATTTATCCCTTTATATAAAGCCTCCTTTAAAGAGTACTCAGACCTTCAGGTTTGTTTATAAATACCTCTCAGGAAGGTGACATACTCTTGTTGAAGGCCATTGTTTAACATAATGGTCTTTTAGATATTAAAGATATTCGTTAAGAGTATGAACTTCAGAGTTAGACATGGCTACAAATCCTTGCTCTACCATTTACAAGCTGGATTTTGGACAGATTTCTTAAAGTTTCTAAACTTCATTTTTTTTTAACCTATAAAATAGGAATAAAAATAATACCCACCATATAGTATGGTAGTTGTGTAGATTAAATGGGATTTACATTCAAAGAGTTTAGCACAGTCTCTGGCATATGGAAAGCCATATTATGGTTATGATTTTTAGCTGGTTGTTTGAAGTTTTTCAGTCTTTTATTTTAGAAATAATGCTATAAATGAAATTGTAGTTAAATTTTCAGAAAACTCTGTAAAAATCTATTTACCACCAAATATACAGTGCTGGTCTTTAGTGTATTATTCTGAGTCCTCCAGGATGAGAGGAAGAGCAAAAGATGTCAAACAACAACGAATGTATGCAATGAAGGCATTTTTTCCCCCCAGATTTTATTTATTTATTTTAGAGAGAGTGAGCGGATGCGCACACACTCCTGCGTACTTGAGTCCAGGGTGGGATCGGTGGGGAGGGGCAGAGGGAGAGGGAGAAGCAGGCTTCCTGCTGAGCAGGGCACCTGACCTGGGGCTTGATCCCAGGACCCTGAGATTAGGACCTGAGCAGCCACTTAACTGACGGAGACATCCCTTTCAGCCAACTCTGAAATACAATATTTAGAGAGACATAGAGAGAGAGAGAGAGAGAGAATGAACAAACACAGGGGAGAGTGGAATAGAAGAGTCTCCAAACCTAACTCACTGAATATTTTTGTTTTGAAATTATTAATCAAAAGGAAAGAAGCATTTATCTTACCTTTACTGTATTATCTGTATTTCATGTTAACTAAATAGACTGATTTGATAAGGAAACTTTTCCCCCCAAAATTATCCAACTGATAAATGTAGAAAGGATGGTAGAATTAGAAAATCACTACTTTTCAGTCCTTAATGAAATGAATTAGGTGGCAGTAATCAGTGGATGAAATTATTAGGTGAAGGGTTAATGGGGAATTTACAAAGGAGGGATTGAGCTATCATCACCTGAACCCTAGTGATTAATCATGGCATTACTATGGCATTACTAAAAATAGTACATCCAGATATTATATACTTGCTGAAGTTTTATAATTTGAATCGCAGAGCACAATCCATGAAATATTCTTGCCCAAAATATTGAACCTGAATAGAATCAATTAAGAAAGTCAAGTGATGGAGAACCAAGTTAATTGACACCACAGGAAACAAATAGAGAATAAAGAAATCTAAAGGGCAACTGACTCAATTTCCTTAAAAAGTTAATGGTTCGGTAAAGAAGTGAGGAGAGGATTGCATCTCTAACTATCTGGTATTGAAGACCAAGCTTGTTTTGTTTTTAAAGTACCCTTTTTGGGGGTTGCTTAGGTGGCTAGGTCAGTTGAGCATCCAACTCTTTCAGCTCAGGTCATGATCTCAGGGTCATGAGATTGAATCCCATGTTGGGCACCATGCTGAGCATGGAGCCTGCTTTACATTCTCTCTTTCCCTCTCCCTCTGCTTCTGCCCCTCACACTACTCTCTAAAAAAAAAAAAAAAAAAAAAAAAAGGTATCTAAATCCTTACTTTTCCTTTCTGACTTTATCTTACCTGAATTTATCTTATTGACCTAAAACAAAGAGTTTGAGCACTGGTAACAGTTTTTGGATTGACAACAATTAGTTCTTGAACTGACAACAGTTCAGACCATATTTTAAGCAGCACTACTCTAGATTAAAAGAAATTCAAGAGACATATCCTAATGTAACTTGTGAACCTTATTTGGATCCCAAGTCAAACAAATCAACTATAAAAGGACCTTTTGAAACACAATTAGGGATATTTGATTATGGAATAA